TAGTAATAGCCTGGGACCCTCACCTAACACGCTGAACAGTATCAATAGCCCATACAATTGGTATAGTTCATAGTGTTAGTCTTCCGAGCTTTGTGGCTTCCAAAATTTGCTGCATTGGTGTCAGAAATTAGACAATGTGCCTTGCCATAAGCAGGGTTGGGTAGGTTACTTTCCGTTACATTTACTAGTTACCTGTCCAAAATTGTAATCAGTAATGTAATTTTTGGATTATCCAACCTCAGTAACGTAATCTGATTACTTTCAGTTACTGTTGGATTATTCTCCCTTTAAGAGGCATTAGAAGAAGACTAAAAGGATCCATCAAACTCATTTGGTGTTTCATCATAGTGGTTTCTGACTTGTGGTCAGACTCGCTCAGGTGGGACAAACTTAAACTTGCACCTTTTTTCAATGCTGAGTTGAATGTCATTGAGAGAACAGAAAGGTGTCATAACATATTTTTTTGCTAACATCCTTTCTGAATTTCAAAAGTGTATGTAATCTGATTACAATATTTTTGCTGGTAAGGTAACTGATTACAAGTAGTAAAAAAAGCAGGGGGGGGATTACATGTAATCAGTCACTCCCCAACCCTGACCATAAGTGTAACATAATTAGAGGTGGAGGTGCAAAGGTGCAGTGTCTGAATGTAGTGTCAGCATCCTGATTTATAGTGATTTAAGGCCCCTCTTTGGGTCCCCAGGATCAGGATTAACAGACACTGCCTGGGGTATAGTGTTACATATCCACAGCCATTGGAGGCTGGGAAGTCCCGCCTTAACTTTAATTTGCTGGTTGGACCATCCGCCAACATGTTACAGAAATACTGCCCATCTCTGGCTAAAACAATGGGATACATTATGTTAGAAGTTGATTCAACTCAATAGACAAGTTGTAGTTATCTTAACTTGACATTTTTAGTCAACACATCTGTTATGTTGCTTCAGTTGATTTGACTTCATGGATGTACATTTTTAAGTTGAGTAAACACATAGGTTTTAGCTGATTCAACTTGATTTCATAAGTTAAGACAATTTGATACGTTATAGTTATCTCAACTCAGGGGTCTGCAAGCTCGACCAGTAGCTTGCAGCCCACCTATGAGTAGCTCGCCAAACAATTCTGAAAGTATACTCTAAAAAGAAACGTTTCCAGGAAGATCCTTTAGGGGTTCTTCATATTGAAACTGTGGGGGAACCCCTATAAGTTCTTTAGAAAAATAACCCCCTTTAACAGTAGGGTCCATGGGTAAAATCACTGGGCAAGACAAGCCAGTAAAAAAGCCATATTACAACCTATGTTGTGATAATTGCGTTGTTTGCTCTACAGTCACACAGTGGCAGTATAAATTAAACTGCACATGCGTTTGTTTCATCACAAAACCGGAGAGCACCATCTGTCTGGTAAAGTCCATAAAGCCATTATTGCATGTAACCAACAGTTATATGACCTGCAGCATGGTCAAGCAAGTTAATGTTTTCGACAGTTTACTAAACAACTACTGAATTAGAACCACAGAGTTACCGCAAGTCAGCGCAAAGACAACAGGAGCACTGCCTCCGCTATTCCAGCACCATTTAAACTTAAACATTTAAACGTCATCAAATCAACAGGGCTATATATGCTTAGTTTAATACACTGAAAACAAACTTAAAGATACTAAAAACTATTGGTTTGGAGACCCCTGTCTTAACTTGACATTTTTTGTAAACACAATTTATGTTGGTTTATTTGATTTGACTTCTTGGTTCTGATTTGAAAGTAGAGTGAACACATTGTTCTTTGCTAACTCTACTTGATTTGATAGGTTTTGACATTTTGAGTGAATTGCGGAAATGTAATTGACTTAACTACATTAAACCTGTCATTTGACTGAATCTCAATATCTTTTTAACAGTGTAGGCTATGCTTGGTTTTTAATCAAATTCAACGAAATGGTGGGAAACCAATCGTTTTTTCAGCAAAATAAGAAATGTCCCTTTTTCAGGACCCTGTCTTTCAAAGATAATTTGTAAAAATCCAAATAACTTCACAGATATTCATTGTAAAGGGTTTAAACACTGTTTCCCATGCTTGTTCAATGAACCATAAACAATTAATGAACATGCACCTGTGGAACAGTCGTTAAGACACTAACAGCTTACAGACAGTAGGCAATTAAGGTCACAGTTATGAAAACTTAGGACACTAAAGAGGCCTTTCTACTGACTCTGAAAAACACCAAAAGAAAGATGCCCAGGGTCCCTGCTCATCTGCGTGAACGTGCCTTAGGCATACTGCAAGGAGGCATGAGGACCGCAGATGTGGCCAGGGCAATACATTTCAATGTCCGTACTGTGAGACGCATAAGACAGCGCTACAGGGAGACAGGACGGACAGATGATCGTCCTCGCAGTGGCAGACCACATGTAACAACACCTGCACAGGATCGGTACATCCGAACATCACACCTGTGGGACAGGTACAGGATGGCAACAACAACTGCCCGAGTTACACCAGGAACGCAAAATCCCTCCATCATTGCTCAGATTGTCTGCAATAGGCTGAGAGAGGCTGGCCTGTTGTAAGGCAGGTCCTCACCAGACATCACTGGCAACAACGTCGCCTATGGGCACAAACCCACCGTCGCTGGACCAGACAGGACTGGCAAAAATGTATTTTATGGAAATTATAAATGAGCCCCATTGAACACAAATGAAGGCCGGTCTACACACCACATGAGGGATAGAGTTTTACTGTGTGTGTGTTGCAAATGTATTTCTTATTATAATAATAATATATATATATAATAATATACACGATTTACAGTCATGTGTGCATACATTTTTACATATGGGTGGTCCCGGGGATCGAACCCACTACCCTGGCGTTACAAGCGCCATGCTCTACCAATTGAGCTACAGAGGACTCCTCACAATGGCTGCAGAAGCTGGAGTCCTTGGGATATGTTGCCTCCTCTGGATTTGAGGTCTTACCAATGCCTTGCCCAGCTCCTCGAGAAAGAGACGTCTCCTCTGGAGTGTCCCTCTGTTCCAATCTGGGTTCAATGCCATCCAGATGACAAACGTGTTGTACGCCGAGATGTCCAAGATGTTGAAGAATATCACAAGTGGCCCGCGTAGGGTTCTCCTTTTGCAGCTGTAGCCAGTCACCAGCTTGTCTAAATTGTCCACCCCTCCTTTTGTGGCAATGTAATCCTTTATGATTTCTGGTTTTTGATGTTCCCGGCCACAGATTCTCCCATCCCTATGCAGCGTACTCATGAGTACCACATTTTTGCCTTTCTTTGGCACGTATGACACTAGGGACGTGTCGGCCGTGAACACAAACTTAGAGGAATTGATAGGCCTGTTCTGTGTATTCAACGGCTGAGGTGGGAGCTCTGGCTTGTTTTTTCGTACTGTTCCTACCATCGTCAGCTCTTGAGGAGCTCCTATCCCAGCTTGTGCGAAGTAAAAAGGTTATAGGATGTGATGTTGTGGCCACGGAGTCCCTGTGCCACGTCCAGGACAACCCGCATCCCTTGGTTCTTCTCAGGGGCTCCTCCATCTGGCTTCCCCGTATACACTTGCAAGTTCCCCGCATATGATGAAGCAGCATCACAAGTCGGTATGTACCGCCTGAAGGGGCAGCGGCCCATAAATGGCATAAGCTGCTCATCAACAGTAACGTTGGGTCCAGGGTTGTAAAACAGGGGAAGGCGGTCCAGAGACATGATCCTCATATTCTGAAAATTCTTCATCTTCCAAAGTGGAAGACGCTCCTTCCACACTAGCTTCTCTCTCTGCCAAAAAATATTCTAAGGCCCTCTGAGCAGAGATTATTTTTGCCATACTGATTGAATGTGGTAAAGAGCCACACATGCAAAGCTATTTATTTGTTGTGTCCCTCCCCCAATTTGCACCTGGCTGGGGTAGAGTGTGGGAAAAGACTGCATTTTTTACAATGTATCGAAACAATGTATTGAAATAATGTATTGTAATAACATTGTGCAGGTTCCCGCAAGACATTGTGAGGTTTCCACACACTACAAAGGGTAAAGAGTGTGAGAAAAGCGGGAGACAGGCAGGTTCTTGGTGCTATGTTGAAACAGCAGGCCCAGGGAGGAGGAAGACAGAGTGAAGGCACACAGAAAACCTTTTTTGTTTCATTATTACTTGTTTTTACCTACACACACACTTTTATTACCCTCAGGTCCAGTGGACCCGAACACCACATATGTAATAAAAATGTGTAGGGGGGTGCACAGTGTGCACTCAATGAAAATGTGTTATTTTACATGTTTTTCACAGAAAATGAGCCAAGGCCAATGAGTCTCAGGTTGATAAAAATAATTCATTGTATAATTTTTCATTTTGTAAACATTGAAAATGGGTCCCACAGACCCGAACACCACACAAGGGTTAAAAACCTCAAACCAGCTATAAATTGTAGAAATTCATACATACATATTGAAAGCATTTAAGCAGACAACTTCATTTACATTGTTTAATTTATTGACGGTCCCTAACTAGCCCCACAGACTATCTAAGTCAAACCAACTTTGCCACAGTCGCACACCGGGCGGCTGAAGCTAATTGGCGAAAGAAGTTGGCTAGCTTGCTAGCTAGTCTAGGGCTAGGCTATGATATCCTTGTTCTTTATCGTAAAGATACTTATTTATTACTTATGGCAAGGGCTGTAACTATGGCTCTGTACACAAGTTGTACAAAGGAGAGTTTGCTGTGGAGACAGCCAAATGGTTGTGTAAATGTTTTTTGTGCAGACAAACTGTCCATTGTATCACCAAAATATCAGTTGCATCACATTGAATGTGTCAAATGTGCGTCTGATGCTGCAAAGGCAGAATATATGTTTAATAGGTTCATCTTTAAAACATCTTGCAAATATAGTGTATAGGATAATTCTTATTTTCTACTGCTCTATTCGTCATATTGCTTGCTGGACTTTCTTAATCTTTTTCACATGAAGTATTTATTTTCTGTGTGTTTATTTCAGAGCCCAGTGCCGAGACCCCTGTGTTTGTGTTGAAGGGACAGGATGTTCGTCTGATTGTCCAGACAAATATTACACTGGAAAATATTGATGTGCTATTTTGGAAGTTTGACACAACAATCAATGTTGCAAAGTACCCCCCAAAAGTAACCTTTGAAAGGTTTGAAGGTAGGGCTGAAATTAGTGAGGGTACCCTCTCTCTGCTACTGAAGAACCTACAGGAAGGAGACAGTGGACCGTATGAAGCAGTAGTGGCTGGTAACAAAAACACCAACGTTGCTACATACATGTTGGTAGTTCAAGGTATGGTTGACAGTTTTTCTATTTTATTATACAGTTACAGTATCAATCAATAGAGCTAAACATGGTGTTATAGGTTAAAGGCTAATTCTTTAGATGCATTGGTACTCTAGCTCATGTACTCAGGTTAATATACGAACGATAATGGGTTTCTGTGTGTTTTCAGAAGAGGTTGAGCCTCCAGTCCTGACAGTGAACTCTGTCTCCTCCATCAATGGCACCTGTAACATGACTGTGACCTGCAGAAATCAGAACACCTCTGTCATCTCCATCTGTAACAACAGCACCTGCTCTCAGGTGGGAGGAGAGAGTAGAGGGGCTGAGACCTCCACTGTCCCCCTGCTCTCTGTCTATGTGGCAGGGGGTTCCATCATCTGTAACCACAGCAACCAAGTCAGCTGGGCCAAAGACACCAAGGAGATAGTGGAACTCTGTCGAATGACACCTGGTAAGACATGCTAACAAATGATCTCTCACACACACACACACACACACACACACACACACACACACACACACACACACAGAGAGAGAGAGTGTAGTGATTTTGATGTTGCTATATTTCCACACCAAGGGAACTACAACTCTGCTCTCACAGTCTGGACACCTGTCGGGGTTGCTGGTTTCGTTGGCACTGCTGCCCTGATTGGTTTTATTCTTTGGCGAAAGCAAAAAAAACGTAAGCTGCTGCTGCATCATATTACAGTAACTTCCTTAAACTATTGTGAAAACTGTTAATGTCATGATGTGATGATTTCACATTATTTATAGACCGTGTACTCAAAGCAACTCTGAAGATCTTAGTTTTAAATATTTGTTGGATTTTTATGTGGTTGATTTTATAGGTGGCAAAGAGGAAATTATAAGCACAGATTACGCCACAGTCATGGTAAGATACATCAGATATTTAACATCACTGGTACTGTGTCACTGTTGATGACATTTTTAGAAAATGTCGTTAGTGGAAAACATATAAATTCCAAATGAACAATAAACTCATCTTAATTTAATGCGTATATGTAGAGCATTGAACAGCCACTGAGAGATATTTAATGTATTGATTGGAGGTCATGTTATACCTGAGTCACCATTCATATTGCAGCTGTTAATACGTTTTTATTGTCCAGACTCCCGATAACAGCCAAGCAGGTGGTGAAGAGCAGGTGTCTCCAGGTCCTGGTCCAGCATCACTCACCATCTACAGTACGGTGGGACCGCAACACCCCCAGCCTGTGAACCACCAGCCTCCGCCTGTTGACCTCCCCATGTCCACCATGTCCACCATGCCCCCCATGCCTGAGAGTTTATATGCTGTAGTGGAGAAAAAGACTAGCAAACAATAATCAGGAATTTGAACATAATCTTAGGCCGGGATTCTATTCAATCCATTTGTCGGTGAAATGCTTACTTATGGGCCCTTCCCAACAATACAGAGAGAAAGAAAATAGAGAAAGAATAGAAAAGTAGAAAACCTATTAATAAATACACCATGAGTAAAGATAACGTGGCTATATACACGGGGTACCCAGTCGATGTACAGGAGTATGAGGTAATTGAGGTAGATCTGTACACATAACTAGGAATAAAGTGACAGACAATAAACAGTAGCAGCAGTGTGTGTGTGTGATGAGTCAAGAAAGTTAGTGCAAAAAAAGTGTCAATGTAGATAGTCGTGGTAGCTATTTGGTAACTATTTAACTAACTATTTAGCAGTCTTATGGCTTGGGTGTAGAAGCTGTTCAGGGTCCTGTTGGTTCCAGACTTCGTGCATTGGTACCGCTTGCCGTGCGGTAGCAGAGAGAACAATCTATGACTTGGGTGGCTGGAGTCTTTGACAATTTTTAGGGCCTTCCTGATACTGCCTGATTACAGGTCCTGGATGGCAGGGAGCTCGGCACCAGTGATGTACTGGGCCATACGCACTACCCTCAGTAGCACCTTGCGGTCGGAGGCCAAGCAGTTGCCATACCAGGCGGTGATGCAACCAGTCAAGATGCTCTCAACGGTGCAGCTGTAGAACTTTTTGAGGCTCTGAGTGCCCATGGCCTCCTGAGGGGGAAGAGGCGTTGTCGTGCCCTTCTTAACCTCCTGAGGGGGAAGAGGCGTTGTCGTGCCCTTCTTAACCTCCTGAGGGGGAAGAGGCGTTGTCGTGCCCTTCTTAACCTCCTGAGGGGGAAGGGGGCGTTGTCGTGCCCTTCTTAACCTCCTGAGGGGGAAGAGGCGTTGTCGTGCCCTTCTTAACCTCCTGAGGGGGAAGAGGCGTTGTCGTGCCCTTCTTAACCTCCTTAGGGGGAAGAGGCGTTGTCGTGCCCTCTTCACGACTGTGTTGGTGGGATTAAGTTCTGGAGACTGGCTAGGCCACTCCAGGACCTTAATGTGCTTCTTCTTGAGCCACTCCTTTGTTGTTGTTTTGGGTCATTGTCATGCTGGAATACCCATCCACGACCCATTTTCAATGCCCTGGCTGAGGGAAGGAGGTTCTCACCCAAGATTTGACGGTACATGGTCCATCGTCCCTTTGACGCGGTGAAGTTGTTCTGTCCCCTTAGCAGAAAAAAACCCCAAAGCATAATGTTTCCACCTCCATGTTTGACGGTGGGGATGGTGTTCTTGGGGTCATAGGCAGCATTCCTCCTCCTCCAAACACGGCGAGTTGAGTTGATGCCAAAGAGCTCAATTTTGGTCTCATCTGATCACAACACTTTCACCCAGTTCTCCTCTGAATCATTCAGATGTTCATTGGCAAACTTCAGACGGGCATGTGTATGTGCTTTCTTGAGCAGGAGGACCTTGCGGGCGCTGCAGGATTTCAGTCCTTCACGGCGTAGTGTGTTACCAATTGTTTTCTTGGTGACTATGGTCCCAGCTGCCTTGAGATCATTGACAAGATCCTCCCGTGTAGTTCTGGGCTGATTCCTCACCGTTCTCATGATCATTGCAACTCCACAAGGTGAGATCTTGCATGGAGCCCCAGGCCAAGGGAGATTGACAGTTATTTTGTGTTTCTTCCATTTGCGAATAATCGCACCAACTGTTGTCACCTTCTCACCAAGCTGTTTGGCGATGGTCTTGTAGCCCATTCCAGCCTTGTGTAGGTCTACAATCTTGTCCCTGACATCATTGGAGAGCTCTTTGGTCTTGGCCATGGTGGAGAGTTTGGAATCTGATTGATTGATTGCTTCTGTGGACTCTGTGGATGGACTCCTGGAAAAACAGACATTTCTCCGCCTTCACATACAGGTCATGCTCCAACTGTCTACCCAGCACCCGACGCACCAGGGACACATGCTCGGCTCGTGTAGCGGAGTATATTAGAATGTCATCAGTATACACCACTGCACCCTGTCCATGCAAATCCCGGAAAATCTCGTCCACAAATGATTGGAAGACTGAAGGAGCATTCATTAAACTGTATGGCATGACGAGGTACTCATAGTGACCCGAGGTGGTACTGAATGCTGTCTTCCACTCATCTCCCTCCCTAATGCGCACCAGGTTGTACGCGCTCCTGAGATCCAATTTTGTGAAGAATCGCGCCCCGTGTAATGACTCCGTCATACTAGCAATCAGAGGGAGAGGATAGCTGTATTTGATTGTAATCTGATTGAGACCACGGTAATCAATACACGGGCGTAAACCCCCATCCTTCGTCTTCACAAAAAAGAAACTTGAGGACGCAGGGGAAGTGGACGGCCGTATGTATCCCTGTCTCAGAGATTCGGTGACGTATGTCTCCATAGCTGCCGTCTCCTCCTGAGACAGAGGATACACATGACTACGAGGAAGCGCAGCGCCTACCTGGAGGTCTATCGCACAATCCCCGTGTCGATGAGGTGGTAATTGAGTCGCCTTCTTTTTACAGAAGGCGAGTGCCAAATCGGCATACTCATGAGGAATGTGCATTGTGGGAATTTGGTTCGGACTTTCCACCGTTGTTGCCCCTACAGAAACACCTACACACCGCCCGACACACTGATCAGACCATCCCATGAGAGCCCTCTGTTGCCATGAAATGTTGGGGTCATGAGATGTTAACCAGGGAAGCCCCAACACCACGGGAAACGCAGGAGAGTCAATCAAATACAACTGTATAATCTCCTCATGGCCCTCCTGCGTCTTCATCTTAAGTGGCGCTGTGACCTCCCTAATCAATCCCGACCCCAAAGGGCGGCTATCTAGGGAATGGATGTTGAAGGGCACATCAACTGGTACAATAGGAATCCCTAACTTATACGTGAACCGGCGATCGATAAAATTCCCAGCTGCGCCTGAATCTACTAGCGCCTTATGCTGGGAGTGAGAAGAAACCTCGGGAAACACAATTTTAATACACATATGTACAACAGAGAGCTCTGGGTGAGTTGGGTGCTTACTCACCTGGAATAAATCATCAGTGCGTTGCCCACTGCCTCGATTCCTAGGAGACCCTCCCCAGCACTGAACCGCAGTGTGTCCTCTGCGGCCACAGTTGGTGCAGGGGACGGCCTCTCTCCTGGTCTCTCTCCTCGCATCCCTAGCACCAGCACCCCCGAGCTCCATAGGGCTCGGCTCGGAAGTGCTGGGGGATGGAATGGACGGCCCCGACTCCGGACGTCCGCGGGTAGCCAACAGGGTATCTAGGCGAATCGACATGTCCACCAGCTGATCGAAGCTTAGGTTGGTGTCCCTGCAGGCCAACTCCCGACGAACGTCCTCCCTTAGGCTGTGCCTGTAGTGGTCGATGAGGGCCCTCTCATTCCATCCTGCATTGGCAGCCAGAGTCCGGAAGTCCAGTGCGAACTCCTGCGCGCTCCTCTTCCCCTGTCTGAGGTGGAACAGACGCTCACCCGCCGCCTTCCCCTCTGGGGGATGATCGAACATCGCCCTGAAGCGGCGGGTGAACTCCGCATAGTTGACTGTAGCAGCGTCTATCCCCCCCACTCGGCGTTGGCCCACTCCAGTGCCTTGCTGGACAGACAGGAGATGAGGGCAGACACGCTCTCGTATCCCGAGGGCACCGGGTGGACGGTTGCCAGGTAGAGTTCCACTTGGAGCAGGAAACCCTGACACCCGGCCGGGGTGCCATCATAAGCCCTCGGGAGCGAGAGCCGAATCCCACTGGACTCCGGAGGTGAAGCGATGGGTATAGCTGATGGTGGTGGTATTGTTGGAGGAGGTGTGGGCAAACCTCCTCTTTCCCATCGCCTGAAGGTGTTCATCACCCCTTCCATGGCGGTGCCGAGATCCTGGATCATGGCCGCTTGTTGTATAACACGCTCCCCCAGTGATCCAGCTGGCACTGCCGCTCCTGCTGACTCCATGTCTTGGGTGTGTTATTCTGTCACGCGACGTGTATGCGGTAGCGAAGTCAAAAGCAGGACACAGAGCGGCTGGCAACGTTTTTTACTGAACACAGTAAAATAAACGTACAAAACAACAAACCTCCAAAACAGGGAGGAAAGCACAAAGACCCTTACATACAAAAACTGCCGGAATGACAACAAACAATAACACACAAAATACCAATGAGAGACAGGGGTTAATATAGGGAATACAATCCAACATAATGGGAAACAGGTGTAAACCATAAAGACCAAACAAGACAAACACCGAAACCTCGATCGGCAGTAGCTAGTACTCCGGGGATGACGAACGCCGAAGCCTGCCCGAGCAAGGAGGAGGAGCAGCCTCGGCTGAATCCGTGACAATTAATCACAAAAAAATAGCAGTTTCTGTCTAAAGAGAGAAGACTAACAAGGGTAATACAGGAGCTAATAGTACAGGTAGATAGCAATAAAAATTGTACTACAGAGATTCAAAACAAGTTACAGGAAAAACTAAAAGAACTGGAGGAACTTATAAAAGAACGATCTAATGTAATCTATTACACAAATAAAGCAAACTGGATGGAATATGGAGAAAAGTGCACCAAATCCTTCCTGAAACTCCAACACAGGAACACTACCAACAATTATTTGCAGAAACCCGTTACTACAGACGGATTCATCCATGATTCTCTGATTTTATATTTTGAAAGAGGAAGCTAAATATTTGAAGCAGATGTTTTCTTTTCCATCTCATCCTCACCCTCTGACTGACGATTACTGTAAGGAATTATTTCCTAATAATACAAAAAAATTGCGAAGGCCAAATTATTGAGGCTGTTAAATCCTTTCAGTGTGGAAAACCCCAGAGCTTGATGGCTTACCGGTAGAGGTATATCAAGCCTTTTTTTATTTACTCAAAGCTCCATTAGTAGCTTGTTTTAACTGCTCCTATAGAAATGGTAGTCTGTCAGGTACTCAGCAGGAAGGCCTGATTTCACTATTATTAAAACAAGACCCAGATGGCAAATATAAAG